GGTAGTTAAATCATCCAAATCGGTCTAGTAAATCAAAAGTTATTTAATATTAAATATTATATATAATTTTAATTATACATTTTAATAAACGTAAAATCTGATTGGCTAGCAGATGAGGGGGTGGGGGTGGGTTCAAATGATTTATTAGTAAACCCTAATTAGCTAATTTCTGGAAGCCCCCTTACTTTATGATACACTAAAGTTATTTTTTTATCTAAAAATATCATATCAAGAATTTAATCTCTTGATACTAGAATAATTATGACTTTTAAACAATATTATTATTATTCTTTTGTACAGTAAGTTATATCTATATAAATTGTATATTATGAATATTAAAGTTTTTAATTTATACAAATTATATAATATGAATATTAAAATTTTTACTTTTTTTTTTAAAAAAAAATAAAAAATAAAAAATAAAATAAATAAATAAATAAAAATAAATAAAAAATTAAAAAAAAATAAAAAAAAAATAAATAAAAGTTTGATATTGCAACATGTTAAAGCAAGTAACCATGCTGAAGATTTAAAAATCAATATTTTGCAAGTGATTTATTTTATTATTCAAGCCTGAGACGATACTTCTATCAGAACTATTTGTAACTATTGGTGCTATACCAAGATTCTTCTGATCTTTATTACTAAAAATCTGAAAGATATTTCAGAAGATATTTGTTCAGAGAACTTAGATGATTTTGAAGAAACATTGCAAGCTCTTAATATTTTCAATCTAATAGATATTAAAAAATTTCTTAATATCTCTGAAGAAAATATTATATATGAAGTTCTCACAGATGATCAAATTATTAATGAACTTGTATATCTCTTTAGTAATACAGATAAGAACTTTGATTCAAAAGAATTAGATAATAGCTAAGAAATTTCTATTATTAATATCAGTACTACCACCTCTAGTCTAGAAACTGTATACATATTTCTTTTTCAACAAGATAATACAGAAGAATTTCTAAAGTTAATAAGAAGATTGAAAAGTTTATTAGATTCAAAAAAACAACCCAAATATAACAAACTAATATTGAACTATATTTTAGACAAATAAATACTTAGCTCGTAATGTACTTGTATTTAATATAAAAGTATTTACTAGAGCTAAAATATCTTTAAAATTTTAATATACAGTAGTTTACTATATTATTGTAGACACCTTTTAAAATTTATAAGTCAGGTTTAGATAAGTAAACATAGCGCAAAATTTATATTATATTTTAAGCAGTTCTCAAGATACAACATACTAAAATTTCATACAATTTTATTAGATCATGTGGAAGTTATGCAAGAAATTTAATGAACTTCTATTTTTGGGTTTAACCAAATAACAATTTTTGGATTTTTCTAGATTTTTTTTGTTTATACAAAAAAATTCACCAAAGATCATACTTGTTTTAAATTAGCTTAAAATTTTGTCCATATGTAATATAATATCATGCTAATATTGCACAGTAAAAAAAAGGCTAGATTTGTATAACAGATCAGTATAATAATACATATTCTTTTTTTTTTACAAAACAATAGTTAGTCATAAATACTTAACAGAAGACCAAAAAGATACAATAATTTATAGTCACTAGCAAGATGATTTAGTTCATACTATCGTAGTAGCTATTAGGTGCAGCAAATCTGTGGTACAAAATATTATAAAGAGTTCATCAGGTGGGGCAAAGACAAAAAAAAGAAAAAAAAAGACCTAGATATTCTAGGCTTCTTTCATTTACTGATCGCAAAAACTTAAAAAACTTAGTAACTGATAGCAATTAACGTCTTAATCTTATCCAAATTACTAACCTTTTAACTACCAAAACAAACAAAAAAAAATTTTTAGAAGTACTATGCGTCATGCTAGGACCCTAAAGATCTCTGATACAACTTAGATTCGAGTTTGTATAATATCAGCCAAATAGGTATATAAAATAGATCAAAATTTAAAAAATTTACTATATAAAAATACAACGTTTGATGAATTTCTATGCAAAAATTCTTTTTTTAGTAACCTCTGAGTTATATTAGAGATCTTCAGGGTCCTGTTATGCTTTGCATAGTGAAAATTTAAAATCATATATCACTATCCAAAAATCATTGATTTCTAAAAAAAATAGACAAAAAAAGCTTGACTGAATTCTTGTATATAAAAATTAGACTGTTCGGTATTTCAAACATGTATTGTAATTAGACAAAACCATGTGTTGTCTCTTTTAGGGTTTTTGTGATATTGTTTAGCATAAATCTTATAAAAAATAGAATATAGATTGTTTAAGTGAAACTGTAGATTATAGCAAAGATTACATATATTAGACTGCTTCACCTGGTATAGGCTTGGCCTATTGTTGCATATAAATTCTCTATTATTGGTGATTCTCACATTAAAATTCTCTGTGGATATGTTCTTTCTGCTCTAAAAAATTCCTATCTAGTAATGATCATGGTTGTCCCATCTTTTAGCAAGACAATACCAAATCTCATATTGCAAACTCTGCAAAGGTGTTCATAGCAAAAAATCAAATTAGATAAATAGATTGGCCTTCTCAGAGCCCTAATCTTAACCCAATAAAAAACTTATGAACTGTGGTTAAAAGATCTCTGTGCTATAAGCCAAATCCAGATAACCTAAAAGAGCTGAATACTCTTGTCAAAAAGGTATAGATTGATGTACTACCTAAGTATCATCATAGGCTAATTACAAGCATGTCCAATCAGATTGCTGCTTGTATTAAAGCAAAAAGGGAACCTATAAAGCATTAAAACAGAAATAGTTTTTTTTTTTGATAAAAAAAAATATATATAAATAAAAAAAAATTTGAATTTAGATTTTTGGTTAAATGAAAAAAACTATATTTACAGTTTTTTTTGCATAACTTCTATATAACCTAATAAAATTATATGAAATTTTAATATATTATATCTTGAGATCTGTTTAGTATATGATATAAATTTCATACTATGTTTATTTATCCCTTAAACTGTAGGCTTTTCCAGGCAAATTTGCCTGGAAAATTATCATAAATATGGTTATGATCTACTTTT